GGAAGGTGTGATGGCAGAAAGCACAGTGGTGGTATACTGTGCACTTGGGGGAAGTGCATTGGATATGAACTTGGTTGTGGTTGAATCAACAGAAGTGGTAGAGCCATGAACTTCGATGGAAGCAGTGGTAGGCGGTTCCGTAACTGAAACAGGAAAACGAAAAGTTGCTAGACCGTTTAGTGTTCTAAAAACTTATTATGAATCACTAGTGTTAGTTTCAGTCACGGGAGCACCTTGAACACGTGGCAGCAGAATTTGTGTTTTATTGGAGCTATCCAAAATGTGTGTTATGTCACAAATGTGTGGTTTTGATAAGACTCCAATACTACAGTACATTCTAGTACCACCGTGTTCATAATAACACATGCAAACACTCTTTCAATTCCCCCCAAAAGAGTGGTACAGGATTACTGCGTGGTGGCGCTAACACTTGCACGATATATGCGAAATGTCATATCCAGTCTTGCAGGAAAAATTCTTGTACACCTTGCTTTGAATTTGAAATCAGTTTTCAAACCACTCTTTTTGGGGGCATGTGAAAGTTGCCTCCCGGCGAATGTACCTCTGTCCAGTTCACAAACATGTCCTTCGCCCGAATTGCAATCTTTATCACTCCAGAATCCGTTGGCTGAGGGCTTGCTCGGATTGCCAAATACTGTAACACAGTATTCATTGCCTTCGTAACCATTGTTAGCAGATAGTAGTGATAGCAGATAGCATGCAAAATAGTGCAGATAAAAGACAACGTATTAGAAGTGCAGAGTACATTTTACATATAGTCATGCATAGCTTTCTCATAAATGCAATTATAATTATTTGGTGACAAGTAATGGCGATTCAAAGAATGCAACTCTGAATCACGCGATATTTTGTTACGTAATTTCGAGAATTCAGGCAAATACAAATCGAATTTCGCAAAGATATACGTACTAAATGATCGTCTCACAATTACCAAAATCTTGTCAGAATTTTCTACACAATATCTGATGCAATTTCCATAAACTGACTTAATCACGTGATGTAGGCATGGTTGATCTCCATGTTTGCAAGTTGCATGCTCTAAGATTCATCCACATTTGCTATAAATTAAACATTGTTATTCTTGTGAGTAAAAATGTTAAGTAATTCTTGTCCAATAAAACGCTTTGGTTTATATTACACTATGAGAAAACCACGTCACTTGTATATGCATTCCGTGATGTTATATAATGACGTCATTCCTCGACCGTTTTACATTTTATGTCCACGTGACATTGCAATTATTTGTCAATTTTTTTAATAATTGGCAACCTTGTAAAATAATATGTTTACTTGCCACTGTGTGCATTAAGTAATTGACACGTAAACGTGTCACATTGCGCGCGTGTGTTTTGTTTTGATTTGGAGAAAGAATATAGGGTTCGTTTACAAAAGGAAACATTAGTGGACGCCGGGATTTTCGTCGACATTTAGTAGCGATCGCTAATGAATGAATGAATGAATGAATGAAATGAATGAATGAAATTTATTTCACCAAAAAAAAACAAGAAAAAAACAACGGTAAAGGTAGAAGTTGCACAGGTAGTAAATACATATAAATAAATAAATCAATAAATAAATCAATAAATAAATCAATAAATAAATAAATAAATAAATAAATAAATAAATAAATAAATAAATAAATAAATAAATAAATAAATAAATAACGAATTCTACTTAGATAACTTTTCTTTTTTTTTGGCGGGGATTACAGATATAGTTCATCAGAACTAGTCGAGTCCGTAACCCCTGTATATATAATTTCATAGTTTAATCACACAAATCTCCAAATAAAGAGAGAAAGAGAAAAAATATTACAAATCAAATTTTTAAGAGATAGTTTTTTAATTTTGCTTTGAATATATGTTTCCTAGTGATGGTTTAAATGCATCAGGCAAAGAGTTCCAATGTTTTGTTGCAGAGTATTT